GATTTGAAATACATTTTTAGCAGCATAGTAAAGTTATTACAATATATTAAATGTACAAGCAAAGGAATATGGGATAAAATACAGAGATAAAGTAAAAAGAAGAGGTAAAACTCCAAGGATTATACGAAAGGGGTTCTGGATTAAAAGTGAAGCTGAAAAAGTAGAAATAAACTGATAAAATGGATAACAAAGTAACAAAGGTTAGGGAAAGTGAGACATTTTTGAAGAAACTCCAATTAAGTTGTACACACTCAGAGTGAAATCCTTGCATCATAGTCAGTGTTCCTCCCAGTGCTGGATTCCACCACGGGACAACCACTCTGCTCTTAATTAGCTACAGTTATCTTTAAAACATCCCAACATGACAGTGCCTTTTCATTACTGTGTTTATAAAATGAGGAATGTCTGAAATGAAGAATACCCAGAGAGATGCCAACCGAATGTGCATTCTAATAAACACAAACCGTTTTCATAAAGTTATAATGTTTAAAAATAAATACTGTATGCAACTAGCCTAATTCACAAGTTCTAGAAAAACATAGTTGATTGGTGAATATGATTATACATTTGAATGAAGATTTTCATAACTATGTTTCCTTTTCTGTGAAATAGGCATGTGATCTATTTTTACATCCTTAAAGAAGTGAAATTAAGAACTGATAAGAACTGGAATTGATAAGCAGAACTACAATTGGAACTGAAATTGTTGAAATCAAAACTATACCCAACCCTAGTTCTAAAACTGTGGAGGTCTTAAAGGCAGAGAAATACTTTTGGTAGGTCAGAGAGATGGATCTAGTAGTTGTGTCTGATTGAGAAAACATGGTGAGTAATGTGATAACATGATCATAATGATCAGAATAGGTGCATACTTGAAAGCATACAAAACTAATATTTAATACTTATATAGAGTGTTGTCGGTGACATATGCCAATACATTTTGATATCTTACTATTAAACCTTTAAAACGCTATATATTTCTGGTAATTTCTGTTATAAAAGTAATACTTCATGGGAAAATAGGTGTAATGCCCCTTACATGCGTGCATTTAACTGGCTAGCACAACAGAAACATGTACATGTTTTTCATTATGTCATTTGGCTGTGATTGCTGGACACAGAAATAAAAAAAACATGTTTCCTGCATACATTCTCAACTCCCATGCTCCATTTTTTCCAAGATGACACATTTTGGGAACTGTCAGACTTGAAACTCTAGTAACACAGTGTGGAAATAACAACAAACTAAGAACGCTTCTATGTTATACTACCCAAGTGTCTTGTATAAAATGCAATTTTGTGTGATTGCCAACAAATCGGTACTCACTGTCTGATCCTAGCGCCAGATCCTGCCTGGATCCATGTGTGCCGTGTCCAGTGGAGCTGCTGCTGGCTGTGTGCAGGGACCAGCTCACACCTGACTGGGGATCAGCCGACCAGCCGCACAAGCTCTGCTCAAAGTCGCAAACTGCCGACAGGGACGGGGTGGTGGCTGCGGGGTGGAAAGAGACACACAAGATTTTGAATTAAGACATATTCCAGTGCATCTGCTTTGAACATCATTTACTTTTTGCAGTTTCTTTTTCTCAGTTTCTTGTTGTCTACCCCCTCTCCATTTTGATAGTGCCTTGAGAGATTCCCATTGTGTTTGCATGTTTTGGCAATAGTGCTCATGCAATATGACACCTCAATAGGCTGAACACAAACATTGGAGTACAAGAGAATGGCAGGGTTAGGGAACAGAAGAATCAGCTGAGAATATAAAACAAAGTGAAGGTAGACAGAAAATGGATATGAAGAAAAGTAGTACAGTGAAGTGTGTGTAGTTTGGGAAACACATTGAAAATGACAAAAAAAAGGAAAGAGAAAGTAGAGCATTGTAAAATACACTTGATGTTCCTGATGCTGTATTCAGTTAAAGTCACTGTTAGTTCTCACACAATGAACTAACAGAACTACATCTATACCTTTACCCCATGCCCAAGAGTTGCTGACCTATAGCTGTGAAATGATATTATCATGTGTGTGTGTGTGTGTGTGTGTGTGTGTGTGTGTGTGTGTGGTGTGTGTGTGTGTGTGTGTGTGTGTATGTGTGTGTGTGTGTGTGTGTGTGTGTTTGCGTATGAGAAAGTAAGATCCTCGCTGTGAGAGCTTATTTTCACTCAAACAGAGCCTCCTGTGGGACTCTTGAATCCAACCGACTTCAAAGCCCGGAGACCCTATGGTGCATGATGACATCAGGAGTTTGACCTTAAGAGCGTAAGTGTGTGTGCAAGTGTGTGTAGACGAGAGACAGAGACAGAATGAATGCATGTGAGCTTGCAATTCATCTGCATGACGAGTGAGTGTGGAGAAGCTGTGCTGGAGAGTGCTTGAATTAAGTGTGAGTGTGTGCGTGTGTGGATGTGTGTGTGTGCGTGTTTACCTGGTCTCATTGCAGCAGTGGTCTGTTCCACTCTGGGCAGGGTGGGGGTCACAGTGTCAGGTATAGTGGTGATTTCTGTCAAAAGGAGAAAAAGGTTAAAACTGAATAAATTAAATTAAACAGAACGAGATGACATTGCAGAAAATATTTACAAAGGTTGGGTGGGCTTTTTCTATGGTCGCCAGGTTTGAATGTTTTGACATTGTTATAGAGGGCTTTGCAGTGGCCCTCTATAACAAGTTTTTATTTCCACAACAGCACCAGCTATCAGCTTCATGAGCTAACAGCATGTTAGCTAACAACAACTAGCTAACAACCATACACTGTATATAGTTATTGTAAATTGTAATCCCTGTAATGATGCTGTATGATGTCCTTTTTGTTGTTCTGTTTATGTTTTTATGTTTCATGTGGAACCTACTTGAGCAGGTCTCCCTTGAAAAAGAGATCAATGATCTCAATGGGATACACCTGGGTAAATAAAGGTTTGAAATGAAATGAAATATAACAATTGGACATACTCAACATGACATCACATAGTGGTTTGTGGAGTACTGGTTGGAAGCCTTGAGTTTTGGCATTTTGACATCGTCAACTACTATTTTTTAACACAAGAGGGTAGAGCTAAGTACAACCAAATGCTAAACAAGAAATGTTTTGGTCAATAAAATGTTTATACTAACTTTTACATAGATGGAAAACATATTGTAAAAGGGTTAAAAACTAGCGATTAAGACCATAAACTCATGAGTGAAATATTTACTTCAGTCATTTTCTCATAGACTTCTATACAATCTGACTTATTTTGGTTCCAATGAAGTTGCCCTCTGCTGGCCATTAGAAAGAATGCAGCCTCAATGCACTCCTGCATGTGCTTTGATCTTCAGACCTGGAGGTTGCGGCTTGTCATGCTAACTAGCATGCTGGCTAATCGGACAGGTCAGGTGCCCAAACCACCAAGTAACAACTCACACTGTCACGTAAGTGGTTGGGACAATGAAGGATGTTCAATAACCAAATTCAAGCTCTAAACATTCACAATTTGTTCTATAGCTGCTTCACCGCACTGGGAAAAAGGTATGATTCTACCAGTTAGTGCAGCAGCAAGGCAAAACCAGATTATGATTGTATACAGTAACTAATGATGTTTGTACACACTTCACCGTTGATTTCTAGGACTGTGCATTAAGGGTGAAGTCTGTCGTGATCCAGAGTGAGCTGGCATCAGCTTAGGACTGTTTCATACCGCTTTACCCACTGCAGCTTGGCACACACAAACGCCCACAACGCTATGATGATAGATGCTGCACTAGAACTGACCTTGGTGCACAGCAGCATGCGACCAGTGTATGATAGATCAAACACACACACACACACACACACACACACACACACACACACACACACACACACACACACACACACACACACACACACACACACACACACACACACACACACACACACACACACACACACACACACACACACAGAAACACACACACACGTCAGCAGTGGGGTATGTCGGTCTAACCCCAAGACCTTCTGGTCTTAATAAGCAGTTTTCTACCGTTGGTCCCTTAAACAGCCCTGAATGCTTCACCAGCTCTCTCTCACACACACACATTGCAGTAAGTCTATATGTTGACGTAAGGGAACAGAAAATTGTCTGGCTCGTGTGGCGCAAGGCTCCGAAGCCGCAAACCTCTTGCCAAATTATTCTTAGAATATTAGTTATTTCTCTCTCTTATTTTCTCCCATTTGTTTCACGTTCTGTCTTTCATTTCTCTTTCCTCCCTACATCTGTCATTCGGTGCTGCAAATCCCCTCCCTCTGCCTCTCTCTCATTTGTCACAATAAATATGACCAGTTTCAGTCCTGCTTTGAAAAGCCACCATCAGCACCGCAAAAAGCTCTTTCTACACACACACACACACGGCTCTTTCACATACACACGCAAAGTCAATCTCACTTTTTGTGAAACCCTATCTACTGTTGTTTCTGTTTTACCACAACCGCAATTTTGTCCCCATAACTCTTACTCTCTGTCAGCTCTCCCTGAGGCATATTTTGATTTCCAGTCATCCTTTTTTGCTTTTGTCTGCCCGCAGATCATTCTATCATTTTTTGTTAGGACTGCATCTCTTTCTTTTTGCTTTTTTTTTCTGCGATCCCTCATCCTTTCAGCGCTTCCCTTCTGTGCTGTAACTCTGTCTGGTGTTATTTTATGTCTGCTATAACCGCCAACTGAGTACATTTGGGTCGTTTATTTACTGCTTGTTTGGTTGTTCTAGATGTTTCCATGACTCACTTGGTGATATCTATGGGTATCTGCATGTATCTTGTTTAGCGTGAACTCTTACCCTTTGCTAGCCTTTGCTAATAGCTCTGAGTTCTAATGTGTATTGTGTATGTGCATAACTTTATGCAGTTGTTGACACAGTCTACTCACAGTGAAAGTATGCGGCATTATAATGTAAGCCCAAACAGAGTGGTCTCATATCACCGTTCCAACACACACACACACACACACACACACACACACACACACACACACACACACACACACACACACCACACACACACACACACACACACACACACACACACACACACACACACACACCACACACCACACACACACACACACACACACACACACACACACACAGACAGACTTAGATATCAACATTGGATAAGTAGCTCCCAGCTGCTGACATTAAGCTGTTTTAATTTGGTGCCCTTTGCCACTGTAATTAGCCCCCCATATGGAAGGAAGAGAGAGGAAGGAATGGAGATGAGGAGGAGAGACGAACAGAGAGAAGAGAAGGACATGGAGAAGGGAACAAGACCCTTTCAACCTCTCACCACCTTTTCCCTAATTAGTGACCACACAACAGCTCCTGTCAGCCTCCCGTTTCTAACTCCATCCCCTCCCCACCCCGTCTAATCCAATTTTCCTCTCAGTCTGTCGTCTCCTGTACTGTTATTTCGTCCCTCCCTCTCCTCTTCCTCTTCATCATCTTCCTACCCCCTCTCATTTCTATCCATCATGGCTCTCTCAGTCGCTACTGTAAAGGTCATCGAATAAATAACTTTATAATTAAACTCTTTTTAAATGTGGCTACTGTAGTTATTTTATGGTATGAACTTTTTCAACTTGCTTTTTAATTGTAATGAACTATATGTGACTATGGGTGCTTTTAGAAGTCTGTTTGGCTACTTTGGTCCTTTTTTTCGATTAGTGCTGTTTACATTTCACAGTACTAAAATAAAAACTCTAATATTTTCTTATTGGCCAGAAATGTGTTAGTGTACAATGTAATCAAAAAGCGCTGAGAAAACACTAACTTGATCATATTGGCAGTGATCCTGCTTTGATGCTCCCACAAAACACATTTGGAGAGCGTTCAGAACGTACGCCTCCAGTAAAGGCTCCGGGTTCTCAACAATATGTTGATCCACAATTTCTAAATAGGACATGCTGTGATCAGAGAACATTGTTATTGTTGACTTCCAGCAATTACATTGGATTATGTTCTCACTGAAATCACACCGTACTAGGGATGGTCGTTTTAGGCCACACCGGATTACGATGCTTTCACGACTACAGTTTATTTAAAACAGAATACATCTCTGTTTGTGAAAAGGCCAACACTGAAATATGCAAGGGCCAGAGTGTGTGTACACGTCAACTTGTATGACAAAACAGTCATCCGTGTTTTAAAACACAAGGATTCAAGGAAACACCAATCTTACATCTTTGGTTTGGCAGATGGGTCATCCTAAACACAGCTGAATGACAGCGACCCATCTCTTTCTCTGCACACACCTCAAACTGAGAAACAGTAGGTGTTCTGTTTACCAGATGCACACAGAGACACACACACTGTTATTTTTGTGAAGCTGCTGACTGAGCAGGGCGAGGCGGAAACAGAGAGACGAAAACTGTTCAATTATGGAAAGAGCTCTGGGTATAAATCTACCTCTGTCAGCCTAAATAATGACTACTGACACAGTGTGGGGTATGGTGTGTGTGTGGAAGAGAGAATATTGTTCCTGCTCAAATTATTGGTGACATAGTGCATGTGTGTGTGGTAAGGGGTTTCCTTTACTTAATGACTATGTGATTGACTGTTTTTTTTCTAATAGGAAACTCCACCTTTAGGTAATGAATACTAGCTATCATTGGATAACATATCTACCGTAGGTGTATAATCACTCAAACCAATTTGTATCTGAATACGGGAATCTATCAAGACCTTATGATATACAAAAAGTGACACATTGGTAAAGAGTAGATAATTAATTCTTATTGATAGGAAACTAGGAAAAGCCAAAATCGAGTCATGGAGTACCAAAAATAAGACTGGTAAATGTTATGGTTTGAAATGTAATGAGATGTGATGGTGGAAAACAGAATGCTTTTGGATGAAAGTAATCGCCAGTCATCTGAATGGCAAATCATACAACTGTACTTAAAAAACCAAAAGTGCAGTTTCAATTTATACGTAGCTTTAAAGTGCGAGCCTAATTATGGCTCCCTCTTCAGTATATGAGTGGGTGGGAAAATGAGTTCTTTACAGCAGGAAACTCTATTGAGACTAACTGCCTAATTAGCCCATTGTACAGCGAGCTACCAATAATATCTGGTTAAACGTTAAGTGCTGCACTGGACCACAAGTTCTGACGATTGGTAGACGTGGAGAGAGAATAACCTTCTGTAACCTAGTATTGGTGATATTACACCAAACACATGACTGTAGTTAAATCACCACCATAATAGCTTAGAGTGTGGCTAAAAAAAGAGCCGAGCCGTGAGCTACACAGTTGTGTCACTAAAAGCACAAAAGCTCTTTATATGAGGAAACTACAGACAGAATTGCTCATTAGTCCATTGTGCAACAAAGCACCACAAGGTATGTGACTGCAATTGTAGCCTTAAGTGTGAAGCTAAGTACGACAACAACTGAGAAGATAAAAAAAAGGCTGCCGGCAATGAATGGCAAACTACATCAGTGAGCAGTAGTCAGCTACAAAGGAAATGAGTTTAAGTGTGGCAGAAGCCATTAAGC